TCGATCCTTGGTTGATAACTCTGGTACTTGAAGACATGGCTATTTCTTGTTCTCTCCTGAGCTAGTATTAGGTAATTAGTAATTGAGACGTCTACCAGTTTATTAGTCATTTTGTACATCATGCATAGTCTGGACATTTTTATTCTGTCTTCCAGTGACACCCACTGTAGGTTAGTGGAATATGCTTTATGTGGAATACGAAAACAATCGGCGCAAAATGTTTTGAAAACAGGAATTGCTACCTTCAAGCATAGTCAACTGTAGTGTTTGCGCCAGAAATACGTGGGCTTGGTCATTACTATTTATAATTTACTGAATTGCTCTAAAATGGAAACGAACAAGCTTTTAAATTATACATAATACATTGCAAATGATACATGTAATAAAGAACGAAAGTATGGTCGCCTCGACATAACTAGTTTTCAACCGTTTTGTATCGTATTCATTTCGGCGCCCTGAAGCTTTGAGGCCCCCATCTTGTTTACGCAAATTTTTGGCGGGAAAAAGAACTAATTATGTACTCGGCCACATTCCAACAGGTGTTTTGAACCACGTGGAGATAAAGAAAAAGGTTTGGTCGATACACAATTTCTTTCTATATAACATCAAAACGCTTAACAACTGGCTAAAAAAATGCACATACATTTAACAGTCTACAAGCGCACCACACATTGAAAATGTTGTTGAAAAGGCGGCAACTTGATGGACTTTTCTAAGCCTATGTAAAATTAGGAACGGTCGCTGCCTAATACAGAAATAGTTTATTTCTTACGGAATATGTTGACATGTTCGTACTAGTTGCTAAGGAATAATGTCTGCCAAACAATGTACTGGTTTACCTGCAACAATAAGTGAAGTCGTCTCCATACCACGCCAACGTTACTCTTCCCAAAAGTCTCGCCATTTTTGTCTTCTCCAAAATTCGCCAGGTCAGGAAATCCGCACTTTCTCCTCAAAACATCACCAGAACGGCACAAATCCTCGGCGAACACTCCCAGACATTCCGCTGCACACTTACTAAGACATTCTACCGACGAAAACGTCTAAAAGTACCCAGCAAGTTTAAAGTTTTCCTGGGCGGAATTTTTACCCGTTCCCACACTCGCCATCTTGGAAAGGCGTGTTTCACCCACAGGTGCTGTGTCACATGTAAATCATGAGCAAAATTTGCATTCGATAATCAAGTTAACATTAGATTAACGACAAGGCAATAGGCAATCATCACACATTCAGGCCTGAAAAAATACGATGATTTAATTATGGATTTCATCTTACGCATTCAAAATTCTCAATTTTTCTATCCTCATCATTCAACTTAAGGAGAAATCATTTTTCAATAAATGATCATTGTTTGACCCAGGCCATTTATCTTTTGATTGCAATAAGAACATTTTCTAGCCAGTAGGTGACAACTTACCAACATTACAGCTATTGCGACAAATGCATTTAGGAATACTAATAATAAAATATACGTCTATAATGACTCGGTACAACAAGAGTAAATTTCACGCGACATTCGTGTAGAATATTACTTCGATCTTGTCTTAGAGTGTTTATTTCTCTTTATCGATAATTGTTAAACTAAAAATATGTAACATTTGATAGTTTTAACTTGTTTTGGATCAACCATAATATCACAAAGTTACTATATTAGTATCATAATAGTATATAATGTAACGGAATATAACCGAAACGTCCGCAAATTGTGAACGTACCCTCAGCACGGCACACACACAGGACTGGCCCGGGTCGTGGGACTGCCTCCAGCCGAAGAGCCACTGTCGGAACGTCGGAACGCTCTCGAGTAGAGGGGAAGTGACTTGTCAGTCACTTAGGCCGTGTTTATGTGAAGTCAGTGAAGGCGCTTTACATGTGGTTTCCCCCGAATACGCCGAGATACTAGTACGCTGGGAGGGGGGCACCAGCAAGCAGGTCGTTGACCCCTGACATTGATAACACACTACCTTGCGTGTTTTCATCAAACGACAATGAATGCAGTTTCGGAGAATCGTGATCAGACACGGTTTGAAAGGGGGAAAAGGCTGTGCTGTGCATGTGCATGTGCATGTGCTGTGCCCCTCTTCAGGGCCCCAAGCCATCACATGTTAAAGGGGCATTATGTGACTTTTTGACAATACAAAAAGTATCTTTCCATTCTTTTCTTTACATAGTACGTTGACTTAACCCTTTAGTGTTCCAGAATAATACGCAGCAACAAAAATACAACATCCTTGCTCCTTATAAGCTTACAAAACTGTGAATGATCTTCTATTCAAACCTCTGGCCACACCGCACATACATGTATGGTTAGTCTCCTGCGGGTAAGCTGGACCCTCTATGGCCGGCCAACTCCTCTAGCCAATGATGTTCCCCTTAGCCAATTTCTACTATTTATTCAGCCTGCAAAGGAGTCTGGTGGAGACTAACATATGGTATTGTCCACATATGGTACATGTACCTCCCAGTGGGGCGTCAGTTGACAGCTTACAAATTTCTGAAAGACCTCATCATTTACCAGATTTTTTTATCTCTTTTGAAGGGATAATGGCACAGTTCATTGATGCCCAATAAGATACACTAAGTTGATAATCATATTCCGCTTCATGTCAAAGATATGAGTGTTTCCAATTAAGAAGTTAATCTTGTGACATGTGCTCCTGTCTATCTATCCTGCCATGCCCGACCAATTAGCCACACAAGGGGGGGCAACCACTGCCTGTTGTTGTTGTTGTTGTTGTTGTCCTGAGCAAACCGGTGGCACCGGGAACTGAACAAGAACTGTTTGAACGCACAAAATATACGTCAGAAATGTGAAATAATGACACAAATGTGTTAAAAAGTGATAGTGACTGTTGATAACACCGAAATTTAGCATAATTAGAATATTTCAAATTTTTGCGTAAAAAGTTACATAATGCAGCTTTAACATGTGATGGCTTGGGGCCCTTAAGCACAGCACATGCACATGCACAGCACAGCCTTTTCCGGAAACCCTTTGAAAGGAATGTGTGGCACGTGGAGCAGATGTGAGGAATGTGAGTTACCCGAATCGTGGTTCGGGTGATTTCATATGAACAAGGCCTTAGCTGTCTAAGGCCGTGTCTATACGGAATCACCCAAACCGCGATTCGGGTAACTCACATTCCTCACATCTGGTTCACGTGCCACACATTCCTTTGAAACCGTGTCCGATCACAATTCGTTTGAGGTACATTTATTGTTGTTTGATGAAAACACGCAAGGTGGCGTGTTATCAATGTCAGAGGTCAACGACCTGCTTGCTGATGCCCCCCTCCCAGCGTATCTCGGCCGAATGCCGACGTGGTCCCGCCAGAGGCGGTGAAGCTCGCCCTAGAACGGACACATTATTTGACCATCACTGCTCTTTAAGTTGCTGCCACGTAAAAGTTGGTATTGCATATGAATAAAGAAATATCACCCCGTAATTCATGACCAAGTGAAGTCACATTGAAATCACATTGCGTTCAGACGCAAATCGCGATGCGGGAAAACCGATTCGAAACCACCTCTAGAAATGGTTTGGGATCGAGCGCTTTCAATGTGATTTGGAGTGTTCAGATGGAGCCATTTGAAACCGGCTTCGGGGTAAACCACATCATGTAAAGCGCCTTGGGTGACTTCACATAAACACGGCCTTAGCTGTCTCAGCCTACAGGCTGTACATTCTTTAGATAATCAGTCTTAATTGCTATGGAAACGTACTAATGATATAGTCTCGGGTGTCCGGTAGCGTGAATGTCTGGTATCATACAGTAACAATAGGTAATGGTAGCCTCCTTCGCAGACTTCTGAGGGGGCGGCGTTAATTCTTACGGGGAGTGACGAGAGTTATGCCGCGGAGGGACGGTGTTGCCGCCGAGGAACTTTGCCGGGGAGAGACGGTTTCGCCTGCCTCAGAAGTCTGCGAAGGAGGCTAGGGTAATAGAGGGTACAGTTAAAGAAGTGGATTATCATAATGGCTGGCCCATTGTTTTGGCAGAATAGCTGAGGGCATTGTTCTTGTCGGCACCACAGGTGGTTTGTTAAGTAATACCTGCATCAAGGTATAAAATGAACCTCACTGCATACATCAAGAGAAGTATATCGAAGAAAGAAAGGCCAGCAGAATATATAGGTTTGCAGAAAAAAACTTTGGATTATGGACGTTGAAAATGTATCAACCAAGACAAAGAAAGTTGTGCATTTCGTCTGCCGTAATTGGTTTGTCTTTTTTTTTCTATAAACAATACATTCATTAACTATCTGTGTTCCTATGTCACAATTAAGGTCCCGAAATCCAATTTTCTGACCACTATCCAAGCTCTGTGGTAATAATAAATACTAGTACAATGTACATGTATAAACATTGAAGTCTTCACTCACGTATACTAGTAGCCATTGTGGTAGGGTAGGCATAGTCTCATCACGCCATCTGGCGGTTTACTTAAACTATGCACCCCATGGTCGAGGTCGCAAAATGTTTGCAATAAATACGTTCTATAGGGTTTTACTACATTTCGTAGATGGGACTCCGTGTAGTTAATACTTCAACAGGCACTCTAAAGTCTAAACAGATTTTACAGTGATTTTTTTTTTGTTTTCTTCCTGTTTTTACAGGGGCACTGTGGTTTTACACGTTTTCTGTCATTATTTACATCACAAGTTTAAATGTCCACTATATTCACAACTATACCAGAATATTTTCTGCTTATTACTACGTACTGGGTGTATCCCACAGGTCATTTAAATGAATATATATGGCAAATACACGCGTGAAATGGAAACCGGAACGCAACTGGCTTTGTACGTGAACTTGTTCACCCATAAAGTCCTCAGCTCTAGCTCTGACCCTCACACTGATCGATCTTAGGCATCCTTTTTGAGCGAAGAGAATTATCCTTACTTTAAATCTTAATACTCACTCTGGATCGATACACAACCAGACGTTTTGACCCGTCGACACGTCAGAACTTTTTTGACGATTTGGAGGTAAACCAAAAACAACAGAGATATTTTGCCAACATCTTTTCCTTCCGGATATTTCTTCTCATTTTGTAGCGGGACTGAATAAAACATTACAATGTGGCATTGTCGTCTCTTATTCGCGTTCCAGTACAAGTCAGAACTTTTTGACGATTTGGAGGTAAACCTGTATCCAAAAACAACAGAGATCTTTTGTCAACATCTTTTCCCGATATTTCTTCTCATTTTGTAGAGGGGCTGAATGAAACATTCCATTGTGGCATTGTCATCTCTTGTTCGCGTTCCAGTATCCAAAAACAAGATCTTTTGTCAACATCTTTTCCCGATATTTCTTTGTAGCGGGACTGAAACATTCCGTTTTGGCATTGTCATCTCTTGTTCGCGTTCCAGTACGTCCAGGCGAACACGGCAACCCACACCAGGACGGTCGGAATGGCCACCGCGGCGGCGAAGACATCGTCCGGGGCGTCGAAGTCAGGCTCTCGCGGAGGAGTGCAGTTCGCGAAGAAACGTCTGTGCAGGTCCAGCATAAACACGTCGAACAAGCGCCTCCTGTCGGTGCAATTCAGGGTCAGGGACACTGCCTCTGCGCACTTGGTGACTCGACTGTACGGCCTGGAACAAAACGTAAACAGGATGTGTTTATGGAGCTGTGTAATAGATACTTCAACAGATCTATATAGATGAATGCAGTGGAAAATGAAATACATTTTGTTAGCCAGTGTCCTCACTATGAGACCGAAAGAAATAGATTATTTCAGACAGTTACAACAATTTCTCCATCCTTTCGCCATTTAGAAGATCCCCAAAAAACTGCATTTCTACTAAGATCACAAAACCCACTAATTATGCAGAATGTGGGACTATTCATTATCCACTGCCTTCAAAGAAGAAGTCGAACCCTATAATAGCTAGCGTAGTAGTAGAATTAGGAAGTAGAAGTTTTTTCCAGACAGTTGTTACCTGTCTCCTGTTACTGTATTGCAAAGAGTATTATACTTGATTGTAAAAGCAATTAGCCAACGGCCATGATTTTGCGATAAAGTTTCTATATACTCTTGGATATACATATTATATACTGCGTAGATGCTAGCTTGGTTCAGAGCCAGGTCTGTCTAACAACTGTAAAATTGCTTCATTTTGAGAACCAGCAATACCGAGAACAGCAAAATAACAATCTCACTAAGACTCCAAAATGCAGTCACGCATTTCTGAGTGTGTTAGAGTAAAACTAACGCCCAGAAAGTGTACATGGCTAGGAGAGAGTTGCCTGGTGCCCAGCCGTGTTCAACTTTAGAATTCGTGTCGATCGTTTTCGATCTTACAAGGTCACACCAAGTAATTTTTTACGGATGATGTTCTCTGGAGACTCTAAATCTAATGCGAGAGCGCGGAAAAACAAGATGCCTAGATTTGAAATACATGTATATACTAAGAGACGACAAATATTAGGGCATAAATTGTATGAGAGAATGCAATGTAACAACCAAGACTTTTATTCGTCATGAAAACAGAAATAAATCAGTGGAACAGCAGTTGTTGTCCTGTCCTGTTTCTTTCCTTTTAAAAAATCTTCCAATCTTGAGATTTACGACATTGTCTTGACTCTTTGGTCATAGTTACAGGAAAATCAATGCGCGCGCGGATGTCATCCATAAAAATTATTTGGTGTGGCCTAACCATTATGGCCTCGTACCAGACCTATTATAGCTCCCGAGTCCTACATCCTCTCCTGTTTGCGGATAGGATGTAGGACTCGGGAGCTATAATAGGTCTGGTACTGGTAACCAGGCTATAACCATCAAACCGTGCAGAAAGCTGAAGACGAATGCAAGAGAAGAACTCACACTATAGCAGCATGAAAGTTCATCTGAGTTGGTAAATTACATTATGAAAAACTTAAACTGTTCTCCAACTCAAAATTTGACTCACCAGAAATTTTCGACTGAATCACTCAGTCTTCCTCAGCTATCTGACCCAAATGCTGTGGACACGTGATTTTTCCCACGTGTGACGTCAGCAAAGGGTCAAAGGGCACTTCAACCATCGCTCAACCGGGACGGGGTGCGATATCGACTTCAACCTTTGACCCTTTGCTGACGTCACACGTGGGAAAATCACGTGTCCACAGCATTTGGGTCAGATAGCTGAGGAAGACTGAGTGATTCAGTCGAAAATTTCTGGTGAGTCAAATTTTCAGTTGGAGAACAGTTTAAGGTTTTTCATAACTCACACTATAGTCTGGTCCCAGTCACAGATGTAGGAGATGTTGACTGAGTAGGTGAACTCGTCCTCACACCACGCCATCCAACTGTCGTAAGTCTGCATGTCCGGGCACAGGCCGGCCGTCAACAGTAGCTGGGACATCACTGTGGGACGGATAGGGGGCAGAGAGTTGAGTGAAGATCATGAAGCAATAGATTACAATAGTTTTCTCTCTGTCAATCGACTTTTAGCTCAAACCTGATTCGAACGGTCGTTTGGTGTAATATAGCTATCTGCTGCCGCGCCGCGTGCCTGCAAAGCTGGTGTGTTACGCCGAAGGGCGATTATACCGATATAGATACAGAATTCTGATAGACCAGCTGCAGGCCTACTGTGACTATACCCAGGTATCAGGTTGGCGTAAATCAACAAGTCACTACAAGTCCAAACTTCCTTACGACGTTTGAGCTGTGCTACAAATTGGAAAAAAAATCATAAACATCATGAAATTGCCCCCCCCCCAAAAAAAACGTCCACCGCCAAAGCAAAAGGGACTAATTTTAGCCCTATATTGGCATATTTTTGGCCAGTACGCGTATGTCATTATATACACACACACTGGGAGTTTACAGTATTTCTTGTGTCTAGTGATGTATAACTTTCTTGTACTTGTATCACATGTTACTTTTGTATTTGCAATTAGCCATCGGTCCTGAGTTTTCCATAAACAAAACATATAATAGATTTGCATTGCCTGATGGTGTTTCACATTTGTCCGTCTTGATATCTTTTCATCATTACGAACGAGATCTAGTGAGCTTATGGTGCATAGGTATTTGTCCTAGATGTCTTGTTTGGGTGCAGCTGTAGACGTTGACTAGAATGTTCCCTGGCCGGAGTCTCATGTGTCCGTTCTGTATCAGTGCACAGGTTAATAGTACTGTAGAATGTGGCGGCGTGAATTCTGGGTCAGCAATTCTGGTCCCTTACACCATTACAGTCTGAAGGCTAAACGACACGCACTGCTGTGAGAGTGACAGTTCTGGATGGAATCATTCGTATAGGATGACTTGAAGGAATCTTGATTAACTCTTGTTCCGCCGCTCAGAACCTTTCAGCGTGCCACTAGGTTCTCTTCCAGTTCTCATCAATACACCGTTAACATACCTGTCTCCAAGTCATTTTACAACAACAGCTTCTTTCCCCGGACTGCAAAATTATGGAACTCTCTTCCAAACAGATGCTTTCCGTCCGACTACAATCCACAAAGCTTCAAAAACAAAGGTCCACCGCCATCTCCTGACATAACTACATTATACTCACTTAAGTACCTCTAGCTCTATGCCTAGAAGTGGCCAAAAATAATTAGCCTTGCATTGAGCGACACCGTTAGAAAAAAAAAAAAAACTCTGTGATGATTTCTCATGTACGGTGATGCTTCAACTCTCAAGAAAATGGAGTCTCAAGTATTTTCTTTAAATTCAAGGACATTTATTGTCTCTCTATTTCTGTTTCTTGACAAATTTTACCAAGTCGAAAATAAGTTCAGCTCAGTTAAGATTTCGACCTCAGCAACTGTTGCTAAGCCGTACTGGCAAGGATAGAACATCAGAACGTTTTTAAAAGATTTCAATTTCCCCCTTTGTTATCTATAGACTATGTATTGTGTCCTCTCTTTGCCATCATTTGTCATTGGGTGGGGAACCGGACTTGCGCTTTTGAATTTCCTGTATTTACTGTTTTGCCTGTCTTAAAGATGCGTTTGTTTTTTCTTTATTATATGTATTTATCTAGTGGTGCCGTAAACATAAGTGCTTTCCACTTGAGTGCGGCTTCACCATGTCTTGTACCTTTTTCTACGTGAACGAATAAAAAAAAAGGATAGAACGCAGAACACACCACTTTCTTGTACATGTACTACCTTACTGCGTGAACCATTGATGTAACATTACCAACGTGTCAGCCTCTACGGTTGAATAGGATTTCAAAATAAATTCTGTCTAGGTATTTTAGGAATCTCATTAAGAAACTTTCATTCGACTGCTGGATCAAGAAGACATGCAAAAGCAGGAGTCACAGACAAAGAGTGTTCTTGGGCTCAGGCCCAAGAAGTCGCGGGTTCGAATCCTACCCATGTCACCGATCTTGTGCCCTTGGGAAAGCCATTTTACACGACTTTCCTCACTTCACTCAGGTGGAAATGAGTACCTAGCTTTAGGATTAGGTTAGGGACATCCCTCGGATAGGACATTAATTGGAGGTCCCGTGTTTGGGAGAGCCATAGCCTACGCATGTTAAATAACCCACCACACTTATCGAAAAGAGTAGAGGACCTTCCCGGTGTGAGTGGTTCAAACTTTACAGTCCAGTCTTACGCAGCTTGTACTTACATGTACAAAACTGGAGTGTTACGCCTATAAAAGCGGTTTACCGGTTATGCGAAACAAACACAACACCACGAAGCTTATGCCACAGTAGGCACCAATAGTGAGGGTTGGAACTTGTCATCACTACTTTAGTTTAGAAGATTACCGTGGTGACATAGAATGTCAAAAATCGCAAACAAAAACTTCCCCTTTCTCATTATTTCCCTTTGTGATCCTGTTTTGAGAACATGTTCGTCGGACCATAAGATGGCGACAGAAAATAAACAAACACATAAAGGTATTTCTGTTGTCACCACAATATCACGCAACTTACCATTCTCTCACACAATAAAGTGTGCGTTTACGCTCCATTTTTCCCAGGACTCAGAACTGGCCATGTATCCTTGGAATTACTCTCCAGTGTTCTAGCCAGGATTTTTTCATAGCATAGTCATTCATAAGTAATTTTACAACAACAGATTCTTTCCCCGGACTGCAAAATTATGGAACTCTCTTCCAAACAGTTGCTTTCCGTCCGATTACAATCCACAAAGCTTCAAAACAAAGGTCCACCGCCATCTCCTGACATAACTACATTATACTCACTTTAGTACCTCTAGCTCTATGCCTAGACTGGCCAAAAATAATTAGCCTTGCATTAATATTGAGCGACGCCGTTAGAAAAATAGGGGTCAGGTACATAAGAGCAACTTTCGTGGCGCAAATCACGCATTGAGCCGAAAAAATATTGAAACTCATAACCCCCTGAGACACTATTTCTTGTATATAATGTGGAACAGTTTTCCCTTTGCTATAGCTTCATTCTAAAGTTATATCTTTTTTCTAAAAAATTATGAAGGTTCTCCCTTCCAAAACACCTCTATGCTGGTTGAAACGTAGCATATGGGGTAAAAGAATATAGCATAGGGGTCAAAATTATAGCATAGGGGGTCAAAATCATAGCATAGGGGCCCCTATGCTAAAAAGGCCTGGTTTTCTTGTAAACCAAGTAGGATCTAGGGCAGATAACCTCCTCCTAAATGTATATATGTAAGGGCATCATACCTACATAGATGTTACAAATTTATGCCTGCGTGCAAAAGTTCGAGTACTGAGCCTAGCAACGCAGAGAAACGCCAAGGAAGAGCCGAATCAGTCATATATTTCACGGATAAAGATGTTTTCCTGCGCTCATGACTTGTGTGCTGACCTCCAGGCGACCTCCCGGTTCTGTGAAGTGACTGATAATTATGCGGTGTGCCTGTGATGACACCCCGTTAGTACACTCAGATGATGGGACCTTACTTTAAACGTATGTATTTTTCAGGGCTTGGAAACCAGATTTTTCAAAGTTAATATTCTAGTCACTTTTCTACATACTAAGTTGAAACAACACTGTCCCTATGTATATCGACACTCATAGAGTAAAACTGACAAAAATTTTTACAAAAATCGGTTACTGAAAGGACCTGGATTGATTTTTAGGGTACCACCCAGAAAATAAAGGACTAATCTTGGGGCTTGATTCTGCAGTTTTAAATTCCTGAAGTATTGAAATACTGATTCAAATGTGCTAATGTAAAGCTGTATGTGTCGATATCATACAGATTGCCTTATTCAGAATATTTCCAGTTTTGCTGCCCTAAAATTGCATTGGGTGCCAGTAAACAGCATGATTTACTCTCATCCGGCTATGATAAACAGCAAAACGCCATGGAGTCACGCTGAGGGTAGAAATTAGTCAATTATTTTGTGCCTTTCTCGGATGAACACAAATCTACCAACCACTACGTATCTGATACCAGCCAAGAAAAGAACAAGAAACAGTCATGCCTTCAAATATCAGAGTTATCAACCAAGAATTGAGGTATTCAAAAACTCGTATTTTCCAAGAACTGTCGTAGACTGGAACTCGTTGCCACCAAGCACAGTTGGGGCATCAGCTCCTGCAATTAGATGTGCAAAGATTGAGTGTAACAAGTCGTTCGGTGTGATATAGCTAGCTGCCGCCGCGCCGCGTGCCTGCGAAGCTGGTGTGTCACGCTGAATGGCGGTTATACCGGCTATACTGACACAGATCTACCCACCAAGTCTTGCTCTTTTTATAAAGCTAAGGACTACGGTTGGACGCAAGGAGAGACTTTCATGATTTTTCAGAAGAAAACATGAAGAAATTCTTCCCAGACACCATACACCAACATCTACGTATTAATGGGTCAAATATTTTACAGTTAGGTAAGAAAACCTTGATGCCCGTGTTAGCTTTTGCCGTTTATAAGAAGGGGTCTGGACGTCTGGACCAGGCGTCTTTTTTCTGATCCGATTGTCCAGTTCAATAAGAAAAAAAATCATTTATTTACTTTTTCTTCATATAATTTTTCTCAACACATTTTCCTTCGCTACACAATCAGTATTGTTGCATTTAAAGGCACGGAAGGCCTCTTAAACCGCATCTACCGTAACTTGTTGCATTTCCTGGTACCAAGGACATTATACACTGTGTATAATGTCCTTGCTGGTAAGAAACTGTTTAAAAACAGGGAAGCACAGAATACACGGTTTCTGATACAACCCAGGACCATCCCTTGTGTACTTCAAAATCTGTAACTCGTTCATTTCTACACATTAATGAGGGCCTGCAAGGGGGGGGGGCGACAACGCTCTCCGCTGAATTCGGAAACCTCTCGATTACGCTTTAGGATAAATTCCAAGTGGCTACAACGCATTACGTAGAATTAAAACGCCGAATACGCTCTACGCAAAAATATTAGAGTGGTCCGTCTACGCTCTACGTAGAATTAAAACGGCCGATTACGCTCTATGGAAAAGGGCTTGCGGGCCCCCATTAACTGTTGCCGCTGTCGTATATTCTGTACGTAGTTTGCTGCATACATATACTCTGTACGTAAGATGGCATTTTTCATATATGCATTTAGCTTTGTTAGATCTTTATTTCTAGACGACCATCCAAAAGTCCCTGGACTCTTTGTTGAGTTGATAAAAAATCACTTTCAGAATCATAATACAAAACATCAAAATAAGGAAAGAGCGTCACTCACCGAACGTGCAAGACAACACTACTAGTGTGACTCGTGTGGACGCCATCTTGCTTTAGTCATTTTCCGCCTGGACGCTTCTGCCTCTCACCTGCAGTTCATAACGACATAACAACCTTTCAATCATCCTACTGTCAATAAACAATGGGGAGAACAATAACAGGTGTGAAAGCCGCCAATGTAGTGTCCGCAGATTTTATCATTCATTCATTCTTTATTTCAGGTAAAAACCCATATAACACATGTACAATACATCATTAAAACTAGCCCAAGAGCTTTCTACCACCCAAAATTTGTGACCCTAGCATGTCCAGATCAGGAGATATCAAAACCGGAAGTTCTGCTGCAGTACCTAGGAAAGCCGCCAGGGGGCCCAAAATCTAATCATTTCTAGGTGTCATTAAGATCTACCCACCTACCAAGTTTCATTCCAATCCATCCACTGCTTCTCGAGTTATCTTGCTAAACCACACACAAACAAACACCCACACACACACACACAGACAGACAAACGCTACTGAAAACATAACCTTCTTGGCGAAGGTAATAATACAAAAACTCTACAGACTCTACAGTTATAAGTGCCTCTTCTGAATCTCTTGTCCTCAAATCTATAGACGTCAGTCTGACGGAGGAAATGACGAAAGACTGGCTAAGGCCACACCAATTTAATTTCTTGGTTAACAGATTTTTGAAGAAAAATAATGGAGCGGGCGGGCGAAAAAAAATAAAAACAGGCCTAGGCATCCTATTATGGCCCAAAATGGTACGATAGGAGATTTGAAGTCAACATACCAGGCTAGTTCAAAATTTAAACAATGAATTTTGAACTTTTGATGATACCACTGCATTGAAAGATGGAATACCTGTAACAACTAGGAAGAAAAGGACTGTTTTAAACTGTTCAGGGCAAAATATGAGCATTTTGCAGTTGATTCTGAATTTTTATTTTTATAAAATCAGAAATCAAAAATGCAAATCAGAAAAAAATGAAGCGGGCGAATCCGTTAACCACGAAATTAAATTAGTGTGGCATAAGGACGTCTATAACGGTCCTGGTTAATTAAGATAAGTATCTGTGTGTGTGTTCATCCGTTTGCTGGTTGACACGTTACCATGAAACACAATTGCTTGGCGTGACAAACCCGGCGTTAGCGTGGTTAATACGCTGATAAGGCTGGCGATTCTGGACAGGTGACGTCAGGGCTATCAATCTCTGTCTATTCCAGCGTTTGGGATGAGTCCTTTTGTCTCCTGTAAAGCGACGGTCACAACCCGCCGTACGTGCTTCTGCGTGCTGTCTACGTGCAAAAACGTGGGCAAACGCACCAGACAAACTGACCAGTCTTAGGTCAGACGATCAAAATACTCTCACGAGCATACAAACATAGTTCTAGTGGTAGTAGACTATTATTTGCAACACACATGCCAATGCAGAATTACATGGCTGAATTGGGGGATGATACAGATTATATGGAAAAGTTTATTGCAAATTCTTGCCCGGAGGCTAATTGCAAATTACAAAACATAAAAGAACAATGAAATAGAGTATAAAGTAACTAAAGTCTACATAATAAAGGTAGCTGTCTAGAACTATAACTGTGTCTAAAACTATGTCTGAAGGGTTTGACTTCTCTTCTGTAATGCTTAGGTCACAATTCAAGAAAGGGGCCCGCTCGGCGCGTGTTCGGCGTGTTTTTTGGCACTACCGAACGGGACCTGGACGGAGACCGGCGGGCTTCCCGACGGCTGCCGGCCTATTTTTGGCCCCGCGCGGTCGCCGAATCGATTTTAACTCAGAGTTAAAACACTTCGGGCCCCGTTCGGCGAAATACGCCGAAGCGACGCCGTAACCTCACTGCCCGGGACCCGTCGTCACATGTGCTGATCAGTGCATCAGATGGTCAGGAAAAGGGGGTTATAGGGAGCATAAATAAACTCCTACCTCAGACTACGTCGCACAGTTCACCACGTGTGTGTTACATCGTGTACTTGTGTGTGTTACACCTTGTATTTGTGTGTCAGAATGTCGAAGGGCAAGGGAAAACAGCCGGTACGGCTCTCTTGCCAGCTTCATAAAACAGATCATAACAGGAATAGAATGTGTCTGACATTATCTCTTGTTACATGATACATGTATGCCTTCGTAATAAAATGGAATCAGAAGTTATTGGCATTTATTTTCAGTCCAAATTTCAACAGAAGTAACGATATTCAGTGGTTTTATTGCTCAATAGCAAGGAGCTGCCACGGCACACTTCCTGCGTCACTGTTGAAGTACTTCCTGCGTCACCGTTGAAGTACTTTCGAAAGTAGGCCCTCGGTTACTTTTGCGACGCACCAGTTCTGCCTGCCTCTCTTCTTCAGCTACCAATGCCAGAAGACCTACATGTAGGTTGTCACCAATCTCAATCTCAGACGGGCTTGTAAGTTGTTTGCAGGTTGCTCTGAACGCTGCATCGCCAACTTCAGTCTACTCTTTACTTGACGTGTACTCTTTACTTGAAGTGAACGGTAGCAGGCAGTGCAGCGCTTATATATGTACCTGCTAAAAAACACGAGAGGAGCCCGTCGGGATCCCGCCAGGAACCCGCCAGGGACCTGACAGCTGCCCGGCCGAACTGTAAGAGCCGGTCGGCACCCTACCACACGCCGCACGGGTCAAGACGGGCGACTGACCGGGCACCGGACGGGTCCCTGACAGAAACCGGCCGCAAAAGTTTATGAATATTAATGAGAGCCGCCGGCCGGAGCACAAGCAGGCCCCGACAGGGAGCCGTAAAGGAACATTTAATTGTGACCCTGACAGTACGGCGCACGCTCGGCGTCATGACGCCGGCCGGCGTCTACGCCGAGGACATGCCGAACGGGCGCCGTTTCAAATGTGACCTAAGCATAAAGGTTGGTTCTACAACTCTACAAAAAAGGTAAAACACTATTCTTAAACCTAGAAGTTCTGCAGCTGAACATCACACAAAAAATTGAATCTTCCTGTTTCTTGACATTTTGCTGACAAGTCGCCCCCCCACACACACACACTGTGAATGCAAAGTGGCTGTCTTGTTGGCAAGCTTTAAGCAACTCTTCAACTTGATTTGGAAGATTTGCGACCTTCTTGATGACGTGTCTCCTTCCCTGAGAACCGTCTCTATCAAGCGGACCAACCTGATTGGGCAGACTGTCTGAAAACAGGACATCAGAGAAGGCCTACTATCTCCCCCATCAACGTCTCTGAGTTTGGACAGTAGCCTGAAGCTACACTTGTGTCGCGGGCGATTTGGAGAAGATGATACCCTCTCTCGTACGCAGAACTAGCTTGCAGCATTAGTGCCTATCTCGTACGTAGAACTAGCTTGCAGCATTAGTGCCTATCTCGTACGTAGAACTAGCTTGCAGCATTAGTGCCTATCTCGTACGTAGAACTAGCTTGTAGAATTAGTGCCTATCTCGTACGCAGAACTAGCTCGCAGCAGGAGTACCTATCTCGTACGTACAACTAGCTCGCAGCAGGAGTACCTATCTCGTACGTACAACTAGCTCGCAGCAGGAGCGCCTATCTCGTACGTACAACTAGCTCGCAGCAGGAGCGCCTATCTCGTACGTACAACTAGCTCGCAGCAGGAGCGCCTATCTCGTACGTACAACTAGCTCGCAGCAGGAGCGCCTATCTCGTACGTACAACTAGCTCGCAGCAGGAGCGCCTATCTCGTACGTACAACTAGAACTTTACACGCGGAAGTACATACTAGCCACTACTGGGCTCCAGGAGGCGGTTGGAAAGAGTAGAAATCGGCCAAATAGAGAGATAACATATGCCTGGGGAGTTGGTCCGCGCTCGGGTGCGACAAACTACTCTCTACCGGACCAACTTCCCTGG